TCTCTCTCTCTCTCATACACACACACACACACACACACACACAATTTATTAAAGCATATACAGTGAAACCTTAAGCAGCTGATCCCTCAATAAAACGCGCTACAGCCATCAAACACAGGTCGGTTTCTGTTGGTTAGAAAGTCTTTATCGCAGGATTGAGTAGTGAGTCCAACTTCCCAACACATCACTTCTCCCGCCTTGTAATCCTCATTGACCTTCCAGATAAAGATCCCGAAACCCTTCAAGTCCCAGGTCAGCCCCAGAAACCACGTTAGACTCCATTTCTCCACGGACAGAAATGGCGCACAGAAATGCTTCACTGCCACGTGTCTGCAGTTTCACCCCATAAACAGAGTCTGCAATCCAGAGGTCACCTGAGTGGTCTGAGTGGGGAAATATAAATAGTAAAGAGGAGGGGGCACATGGAGAGGTTCTGGGTGCTGCCGGGAGATACGAGGAGGGCATTTGGGTCCCCGGCCATGTCTTCACTCGTATGAAGATAAAGTGGGCATGCTCCATTTGTGAAAATGAGCAGGCTATAGAATTATGATATGTGGTTTTCTTTGCATATGTTATGCTTCAATCAAAAGTTATACAGAACAGGGCAAAAGTAGGTTTATAGTGGTTCGTATGGCAAGTAATATAATTAATCAATACTAATACAAGAATAAACTCTGTGTTTCGGGTACCTACAACTGTAACCATCCTTTTGCCCCCACCCTGTATGTCTACGTGTGTGTGTGTGTGTGTGTGTGTGTACGCTAATCATTGCTCCCGGTGCTCTTACTTGTAAGATAGGATGTGGCTGCCCTCTTGTCCAGATAGTTTTGGTTTCTCCCTGGTCATAGGAGGTAGCAGAGAGAACAGCTCAGAAACAAGCACAGACATGAAGAGAAGAAGATGAATATTAAGGCTTAATCTGGGGCTTGTAGATGAATAGCCTTGAAGACAGAGGTCAGTAATTGAGACTCTTACTGGCGACCTCATGTCCTCAAGAGCAATTAACGTGTGTAACGTGGACTGTTACGAAGGAAGGGGGCATTTAGAGACCTTTCCCCAAGGACAGTTAAACAATTTGCTGCTTAAAGGTGAACTTACTGTAAAATTGTGTTAGGACAACGATGATGAAAAACAGAGGTATACTCGTACTGCCCAGTGGGGAGGTTCTTTTGGTTGGGCTGTATTGAATCAGGAATTCCATTTAAATAAGTCACTACATTTCCAAGCATTTCCATATGACCAAAGTTTAACAGTTGTGTGAAATCATCTACAAAGCGGAGCTTGACTGTAAAGAGACATTACGCATGAATGGCTGCACAAACGTGGAAATAGTTGGTGTGATCAGAACCAGGTAGGATAAAGTAATGGTCTGTTAGAGCTGCAGGAAGCATCCGATATCATCTGATTCAATCCCCACGCTCTCCAGTACAGGGAGTGTAGGCTCAGAGAGGTTAAACGGACTTCCCAGAGGTACCTTGCTGACTTATGGTTGCTTGGCAACAAGAACGGAAACATCTCCGTTTGCTTCTCTGTCCATCTTCACGCAGCCTAGATCTCTGGAGCAGAGGCGTGGGATCAAGCTGACCCGGGTTTGAGTTGGTTTACCTCTTGGATTTGCTAGTTGGGTATGACCCTGGGCCCCAGTGCCAGTCCTGTTTTGTGAAGAACATATTGCCTGGGCCTTAATTCAGAGCTGCAGACACTACGGTGCTGCATGGCAAGTGTCCCGAGAAGGCAACTCCCTAGAACAGAACCGAGGCCGGTGGATAACGGGAAGGTTCATTGACTTCTTCCCTGAACGAAGGAGACAGAAGAGGGAAGGCCTCCTTGGCGGAGACCTTCCCAAGGGTTTGGGCCTCCTCGGCCTCTGGGCCTGAATGCTCCGTGGAATTGGGCTTTCCTTCTGCCGGCAGGAATGCCCTTCATCCTGGGACCTGCGGGGATGACTGGTAAGGCATGTGGATGCCATCTCTTCTTTTCATGGCAGGTCTAAACACGCTGGGCATGGCTTGTACTCCCAAATGTTACTGAATTCTGGAGCTTAATTGTGGGCTTTGGTTCATGCTGTTTGCACCTGCGTGTAGACACCTGCCATCTATGGAGACAGTATAGGCCTCACCTCAAAAGGCTGTTATGTGAATGAAAAGAGGTAATGTAATGTCACACATTACAGAAGTTGTGTACAGCGATTGTTATTCAGCTGCAACACGGCAATGGACCCGACGTTGATGTTGTCTTGACCATTGTTGGGTTCGATAGCTTTCTCTTTATAGAATATGTTTCCTAAAAATAATGGCTTTAGTGAAAGCACTAGGTGACAGAAAATGTTGATAAAGTACCTATTGTTTAGGAATTGAATCTAGTTGCAAGTCTTTGAGCATCGCTTTGTGAAGAGACAAATATGTAGTTGAATCTTACTTTTTTCCAAGCCTGGTCTTTGGATTGGAAGACCTCAGACTAGCTCCTGCTCCATTGCTTAATAAAAAGTGTCCATGAGCAAATTCTCAGACCACGGGGAGCCTCAGTTTCCTCATCCTTAAAATGAGGTTGATAATAACATCTACTCACTGGTTATGGAGCTCAAGTGGGAGAAAGTAAGTGTACACAAGAGGCAAAAAACGTTGTCGGGGATGAACTCTAAAGAGTGGAAATCTGAAGGAGACTGTTTACTTCTTTTCCAGCTTTCATCTCGCTGCTACGAAAGGACACGTGGAATGTCTCAGGGTCATGATTACGCACGGCGTGGATGTGACAGCCCAAGATACTGCCGGTATGTGGTCTTTATCTCTTAAGTCAACAGGCCAGCACAAGAGCAGGTGCCACAGAGCTGGGTCCCTGTGGAGAAGAAGCACGTAGACCACCTCCAGGGACTGGGCTCTGAGGGGGTTTCCTCATTTGTGCTGTTACAGGTGTCTTCATCTTAGATGTGGTTTGTTGAGGGCACACTGCGTGCTTCTCATCCCCCATTTGAAAAATCTTACCTTTAAAATTGTATGTAGGGACCATGCAACCTTCTCTACGTTTGTTTTGAGGAATCATGATGGGAGGTGAAAAATGGAATGAGTTGTTTGGAAGCTCATCTTGCCCACTGAGATACGCTCTGTGGGTAGAGGCCATGGTCCTCATCTGGACCAGCTGCCCAGGGTCACCCCCTTGCTGTGTTTCAGTGCATCCACATCACCTGGGAACTTGGGAGGAAGGTTGAGAGTGAGCGAGGAGAGCAGGAAAGGAGAGAAAGGAAGGAATAAACAGTATGCACACCCTCTGAGATTCAGATTCCATTGTCTAGAGATTGCCAGACAGCTGGTATTATTTTTAAAGTTCCCCATGTGGTTCTAATGTGGAGCCAGTGTGGACAAATGATGAACAAAGCAGAGGGAAAGACAAGGTAGTGGAGGCCTATCTTTTATGAACGTTGTTCCACTGGAAAGAGCCGCTGGCTGTGGTCTCCGGCCTGGGTTTTGCCCCGCTGGCCACACCGGAGGATCAGAGCAACTCCTGAGGGCTCCGTTCCTCTATTGTACTTGAACATCTTTGCCTCGTTCTAAGGCTTTCGTTCGTTCTTACTGGGATATGAAATCAGTCTGACTCTAGAGTCTTTTTGTTAATTCATAATGGATTCCCCCACCCCCGCCCCAAACACTGGCCTCCTCAGAACAGTTATGGGGGAGGGAGGGCCCACCAGTCAGGAAATAGAAGAATTATTCCTCAAAAACTGGTTGGAAAACTTGTGTTTTAGAATTGTTTCCAAAAGTCTGTGGCACTTGTTAAACAAATTTAAAGATTCTCCGTGATTGGGAATCTCTATTCTTTTTGAATAAGTTAGTTCCTTTAGGACAGGTCAAGAGCCACTTGAAGTCAAGTCAGGTGAATGAGGTGCCACTGGGAAAACCATTTTTGGTTGAAAATAGGGCGTGATTGGAGTAACAGCACGATTTCCCTGAGCAGTGTCACCAAATGCTCCCTGAATGCTTCGAGAATTGGCGATCCCAGTAGAAGAATGGATGGTTTCCTTAAGTGACTGCCCGGAGGGAATGCTAATGTATGTCGCACTGACTTGTCCTCTTTAATCCCTAGTCCCGCTGATTTGGTTTTCAAGTTCACTGTGATCACTGGTGACGTTTTACATGTAGAGCTAGAGTCCCCTGGATGGGCGGGACATCCTCTGACATAAACAGGGCTTCTTCCAAGGAAACCATGACCTGAAAGAATCAGCTTAAAGGGCACGAATTGGAGCTGGAATACAGTTTGGTTTCCCTGCATTTGATGCCAAGATACAGGTTTCAGACGGGAGTCTAGTCATTTGCATCAGAGCCAGGCATCTTCCCTCCTCGTCTTTCCTTTCGGGGAGATTCAGGTGCTCTGATTTGTGCTCATTGTAGGAAATCTGGGAGAGACAGAAAACTGTAAAGAAGATTAGCAGGGCTTCTGCTCCCAAGAAGAAGCACATTTTACTGTTTTGCTATATTTTCTTCAGCTTTTTCCTGGCACATTTTCACATAGCTGAGATCACATGTGATAATAAACTCTACATCCTGCCCCCCTCCCCCCTTAAAAAATATTTTACCAGGAGTCTTTCCTCCAGTAAAAGCTCTTAAGAAGCGTAGGTATTTTGTTGGTTTGTGTGTTTGGGTTTGTTCGTTTGGGTAGAGTTTGTATTTACCACCAGGGCCCTCACTCCGCTTTTAAGAGCCTGGGGAAGCGTTGGGCAGTGCGCCCTGCACACCCCTGTCCACTGCAGTGGCACTGCCTCCAAGGAGCAGCACTGGAGGGGCAGACCCGTCCTGGCTGCGCCTCTGGGCCGGCCCCTGGGGTCTGCGAGTCCATTTCTTGCATCCCGATTGAAACGGGTGGAATCCGGCGCTATGGCCCCAGGATGCTGGCCAGACGTCCATTTCTTGCATCCCGATTGAAACGGGTGGAATCCGCGGCGCTCTGTGGCCCCAGGACGCTGGCCAGACATTCCGGGCGAGTAGAAAACATCTCGGAGCTGCCAGTCCCTTCCCACTCGCCCAGCATTTTTAGCAACGAGGTCAGCACGTTGGTCCGTGGCTTACTGTTTCACGTTCGTCCGAATGAGGCGCTGACTTGTCATGATTTCTTGAGAGCCTGCGGGAGGCCCGAGAACAAAAGAAGGAAGAAGCCGGGTGCAGAGGATGTGTGTGGCAACGTCTGCTGTGTTATCTAGAGCAGCACTGCCTTTCTCCTGTCACAGCAGACGAGATAAATGTGATGGCGTTGACTGCCCAGGCCCAGCTCCTTCCTGTGGCTAAAACTCCTGCCCCTATCTCTCCCTCTCAAGAAGGCCGATCAGAGTCCCAGGCAAGGACCAGGACGTGAGTCACTGTGCCTTGCATGCTCATCATTCATCCAAAACGTTTTTGCGCGGTGAAGGTCTGCACGAAAGGCCCGGCTCTCACAGGAGTGGTCTTTGCAGTCAACCTGCCTCAGTATTGCAGTATCATTCCTGAGAGACGGCCATCGTTCATCCCGGCACCCCCTGGGGATAGCCCTGGAACAGCCCACGACTCTTGCCTTCTAAGTTACACTGGCCTTTTTCCTGAGAGCCAAGTTCTGCTGCAATGCCCTTGAATTAGCATCGCCCCGCCATGTGCCTCGGGGAAGTTGCTTCCTGATATTCCAGACCCACAGCTGAATGGGCCAGACGTACACACTGTCTCCGTCCCGCGAGACTGCCCCTAATCTCATATGTTCTCTCCAGAAAACTTAGCATTGGGGAAGAGATTTTTTTTTTTAACATTAGCACCGAGAGGCATCTTGCCTTGGATATTGTCCAGGGAATGATGCATCATTCGAGTTCTGTGACCATTTTAAATGAAAAATACTTACGTGCTCCTGGTTAGGAAAGTAGATCACGGGGCCAAGGAGTGAAAGGATCTAGTTTCTGTAGAAGCACAGCACGTCCTTTGGGTCTCATGCCCGGGACGCTGGGAGCTCAGTGAAAGCCGTTGTTTGTTTATGGTGAGTGGTTGACATCCCCCTACCCCCTGTGTGGGGAGCTGAGCTGTGTGCAGGGGGTGCTGTTTATGTACAATAGCTTTGGTCCGAGGCACAGACAATCGTTAACACGTGCCTACGCGACATGAACCGTCTTCTGCCTACACTCAGGATGGGCTCCAGACACCCATCTGTAAAGCGTCTGTTGCAAATGCAGGCTGTGCTTGTCCTTACAGACTCTGGTCCACATGATCTTGGGAGCCATGCAGCCCCCCAAAGCCTGTTTAACGGATAACGTAACTGCACTCACACCACAGCCTGGGAGGGGGCTCATGCAGGAAGAGTAGGAAGGGGAGGGGAAGACCTTTGTCCTCCTGCTTCCCAGAGTCATTCCTTCGTTTCCTGATCTTCCTCATCCTCACCCTCGTGGGGGACGGAGGGATTCCCGCCTCTGAGGTCCCACCCCCACAAAACAGCCCCCCTCCAAATACCCTTAAAACCTCCCAGTCCAGCCCTAGCCGGTTTGGCTCAGTGGATAGAGAGTTGGCCTGCGGACTGAAGGGTCCCGGGTTCGATTCTGGTCAAGGGCACGTACCTTGGTTGCAGGTTCCCCGACCCTGGTCAGGGTGCATGCAGGAGGTAACCAATCGATGTCTCCCTCTCTCACGTCGATGTCTCTCTGTCTCTCCCGCTCCCTTCCATTCTCTAAAAATCAATGGAAAAAATCCTCACTTGAGGATTAACAAACAACAAACAAATCTCAGTCCAGCTCAGATCAGACAACAGGAACCTGACCTTTTGACCTTACACAGGCTCCGTGCAGCCCACTGTGACCCTAAACCCTCGGGTTTTAAACATGGTGTTTCCTAGACATGTCGTCCTCTAGCAATCAGGGGATTTCCGCTCAGTGTTGCGGAGTGAAGACTGACTCAGAAAGGAGAAATGGTATTTGGAGACGGGACCATCATGTAAAAGAAATTGTTCCTCTGAGCCAGTGGTTCTCAGCCGGGGTCGATGCCCCTGCACACACACACACACACACACACACACACACACACACACACACACACACGGAGACTTAGCGATGTCTGGAGCTATTTCTGATTAACCGACGTGGGCACCTAGTGGGTAGAGGCAGAGATGTTGCTTAGCAGCCTTCATGGCCCAGGACAACACCCACAGCGTCAGGTGTCAACAGTGCTGAGGCCCAGGGGTCAGGTGGGGGTGGCTGGGTCAGGGAGTCGGGGAAGCGCAGGATGTAGAGCTTCCTCGGTGTGTCGGGTTGGCCGGGTGGTACCCTGGGTTCCCTCCGCAGGCGTTTGTGACGCGCACACCGACAATTCAGAGTGACGCGCGTGTGTGGAGAGCCCACTCCGTGCCGGCCGTGGTGTGGGCACGAGGCGTACGGCAGGGAGTGAGGCAAGTCCGGTGTCGCCGAGTTTACATTCTAGAGGGGAAAGGAGAACAGTCAGCTACCTACCCTGTGGCTGGGGAGGGGTGGGGGCAGTGGAAAGAAGCCGGGAACCTGTTCTGTGCCGTGAAGAAGGACGTGTGGTGCAGGGGGCAGGAGTCACAGGCCTGGGAGGAACTGGGGTTCAAGTGGGAGGTCAGGAGGGTCCTCATCAGAAGGCAGTGGTTCCGGGGCATCGGAGCGGGCGAGAGAGCAAGCGGGTGGCTGTCCCAGCGGCAGAGGGCCCAGGCAGCAGAGAGCAGCCCCTGAATGCCGGCAGGTCCCCAGGCTGCCCCTCAGCCTCTGCCCTAGGAATCCCATAGGCCCATTGGGCCGTGGCGGGAGGTGGGTGTAGGTTAGGGTTCCCAGTTACCTGTGCGCAGCCCTCAGAGTCTCACCTCGGGGCTGTGCTCCTGAAGGAAATGCTGTCATGGTGCGTGTTTTATGTGCTTCTCCTCCTCCTACGCGGGGACCTAGACTCTGAGAACCCCGGTCACTCCCATTCAGGGCCGGAGGAGAAGCGGAGGGGGGAGAACGAGAGGTCAGCAGTGGGGGTAGAAGTGCGGGTGTGGGGTGTGCTCTCTGCCTGTTGCTGGTGGCCTTCATGGGGTCCCCTCGCCTGTGGCGTTCCCAGCCTGGCGGGGCTGTGGACACGGGGCCTTTGGCGTGTGTACTGGCTGCTGAAAGCAGAACTTTCAGAGCTGAGTCACATCAGAGCTCAGCGCGGAGCCTGCGTGTTATCCGGGGGGCAGGGTGTGCTGTGTCCTCCCACCGCTGTCACCCTCAACTTCAGAGATAAGAAGCTGAGGCCTGACTCTTAAGAACAACAACCCCGTCTTGGCTGGGGAACAGTTTATTTCCTCATAGTTGTCTTCATTACAGCGATAAGAGATTGAAAACGTGTGACCTTTTCTTCCCCCCATTTTCCCTCCCTTAAATCTGTTTAGGACACAGTGCGTTGCACCTCGCAGCCAAGAACAGCCACCATGAGTGCATCCGGAAGCTCCTTCAGGTAAGACAGGCAACAGCTTACCATGACACACCTGTCACTTCCAACGTGTGACTGTAACCTTAGCTGTGAAAGAACAAATTCTCTTCCTCCTGCCTCTTGCTTCCTCCTTCCTCTCCTCCTCCCCCCCTCTCGTTCCCTCTCACTGTCTCTCTCCCTCTTCCTCTCCTCCCCTCCTTCCTCTCCTCCTCATCCCCCCCTCTCCCTTTCCCTCTCACCGTCTCTCTCCCTCTTTCTTTCTCCTTTAAACTCCACCCCAGACCCTGGGTTTCCTGGGAAGAGTCGCTATGAAATGACAGGGAGGAAGAGATGGTTTCCATAACAACGGCACTGGTGAGGGATTTGGAGTGTCTTCCTGGAATCCAGCCTTTTTCTTTCCTTTCGTCAGCTCCTCGTTTTCTTTTCTGAAGGCCTGTGCCCTTTACAGAGTCCCTTAAAAACCTTTCTCCCTGCTGGTGGGGTCCCCTCAGCACAGGCCCTCCACTCCCCTGGTCCTCTCTCTCCAGTCATCAGTACCAGGCAGTTCTTGCCAAGCAAAACCCCAGCCGTTACTTCCTTGTACGTAACTCGATGAGCTGTTAGTTCTTAGGTTTTAAGTTCTTTGTTTTACCCTTGGAATAATTTTAAGCCAACTGCCTGGTTCCACAACCTCGCCGGGAAGCTTACAGTGATCGCTTAGGGTGACGACTCCCGGAGATCTTTAAAGATGAATACTTAATGCAATCCCAATAGCCCCCTTCCTGAAACATCCAGCTGTTGCCAGTCAAAGGCAAGCTGGCTGCTTCCAGGAACAGCACAGAGCAGTAAACCGGGTGCCCCGAATACTGTCCGTCTGGCTGGCTCGCCCTGGGCGCCCCGCTGGGGCCCGCATCTTGCTTTCTCGGGCCTTGCGGTTCTGGGGCAGAAACCTGGTCACAGTCCTCACCTTGCCCGGCTCTGCGGATCACGCAGCTGCTTGTCTTGCCTGATGTGGTGCCAGCCGCCGCCAGCGCCAGGAATGCTTAGCCTTCCCGGGGCTGACGCGGAATTCAAGGAAAACTGACGGGCACCTGGGCTGCTTGCTGTGTTTATGAGGAGGCTTCTCCCTGAGAACGGGGAGAGGAGACCCTGTCCGGCCCGCCTCCCCTGGAGAAGGGGGAAGCGTGGACCAGCCCGAGGAAGGCCCTGGTCTTATCTCGGTTTTTAAAACCTACGTGCGTTTCAAATCTCCACTCCCACCCTGGCGTGGCGACCCAGACTCCGCATCTGGCTCTGATTTTAAGGAGACTGAAGCTGACAGGCCAGGGATCCTCCTGGGCAAGGACCAGATATTTGAGCCCCTGATGTAATCGTATATCTGGCTATGCAAATGGATTGGTTTCTCTGTGGAACCTTTGAAGCCTTTAAACAGTTCCTTGTGCTGTTCTAAAATTAGGCCACCGCCTGGTAAGTTGTAACTTGACCTTCATTCTTCACCCCCCCTGAAGGGCAGGCAGGCATCTCCCTCTAACGTTGCCTGTTCTTGCCTCCCCTAACTTACCATTCGTGTGAACGCTGTTTGTAGACAGGAGTTAAAACCTGAGGCTTTGATGTCCCCCTAATGGGGCGCTTCCCTTGGGGCCTGTGCCTCTCTAGTCATCTTCACCTCCCCTCTTGGCAACCCATACCCTCTGTGATGTGACCCTTGCTGTCCCCTGCTACTCCTCACCCCTGCACCCTCTGTCACTCCTCTCTCTGGGCTCTCGAGACCTTGGCTCTTGCTATCTGTCTGCTAGAGACACTTGCCTCTCCAGTGGCTACATGCCCAAAGCAGTGAGTACAAACAGAGCCTGTGAAATCCTTCAGATTCCAAATGAGCTCTCTCCCTCCCCTGAAAGCACTATTCCCCCCACTCTTTCTTCTAACAAGTGTTCCCTGAGCACCATGCCCCAAGCATTGCATATACTATCTACTCATGAACAGAGCAGCCCCTATCCTGATGGAAATTACAGTCTGGTAAACAAGCACAAAAATACACATTAAAAATTGCACAGCACTAAAAAGCAACTACCAGGTACTTAAGAGAGGTGAGGGGTGGTGTTCAGGGAAGGCTTCCTGGAGGAGGTGACAAGCTGAGAACTCAACAATGCAAACAGCCCAGGGGAAAGCATTCCAAGTAGACATAACAGCAAGTACCAGTGGCTTAAGGAGAGAAAGGCACTTGTCAGAAAGGAAAGAAAGCCACTGAGAGGACCTGGGGCAAAGCACTTGAGGAGGAGAAATGAAGATACAGGGTATGGGCCTTGCATGTCATGATGTGTAGGCTGTGGTTACTCAGTACAGCGTGCAATGTGAAGAGCTTTTAAGGAAAGAGTGATAGTCACAGATTCAAAAGGTCACGCTAATTGTGCAGAGTTGGTGAAAGGGGGAAAACGCAGAATTGAGACCTGCGGGAGGGGGGCCGTTGGACCTGCCCAGGTGAGAAGGTGCCGTTTCACGCTAGGCTGTCATGGAGAAGCAGAGGCAGCAGAACTGGGGTAGGTTTGGGGAGCAGAATTGACAGGCCATGGTGGAAGGAGGACGTGGAGGAGAAATCGGAGATGACGCCGTGGTTTCTGGCTCATTGACTAGATTCATGTGACACGGTTGACAGAGGCGGAAGTGTCGGAGGATCAGGCACGGGAGAGCGGGAAGGAACCAGAGCTTTGGCTCTGCCAGGCTCGAGTGCCTGTGAGACATCAGGACCCAAATGGGAACTGGGCAGGGGCTAGCCAGCCTGGCGCTCAGAGATGCCCTCTCGGGTACACAGGCTCCAGCTCAGCCTGTCTGGGCTCCAGTCCCGGCTCTGCCACTCACTGTGACCCCAACAGATTTGTACCTCCGTTTCCTCATCTGGAAATGGGGCCAAATGACAGTCTCCAACGAGGGCTGTTAGGGGCCTGACAACAGTTCTTCGAACAATGCCTGGCACACAACAGCTAATGCTTACACACTATTTTTGTTGTCATTGTTCAGTTATGCAATGACTAGGGCAGTGATGGCGAACCTTTTGAGCTCGGCGTGTCAGCATTTTGAAAAACCCTAACTTAACTCTGGTGCCGTGTCACATATAGAAATTTTTTGATATTTGCGACCATAGTAAAACAAAGACTTATATTTTTGATATTTATTTTATATATTTAAATGCCATTTAACTAAGAAAAATCAACCAAAAAAATGAGTTCACGTGTCATAGGTTCGCCATCACGGCACTAGGGAGTCATTAGGTTCTGGCTGTGGATGAGATTGCGGAGGGAGAGAGCTTAGGGAGCGAGCACTGAGGGAGGAGGAGTGGCCAGGGCAGTGAGAGGAAAACCGGGATTGGATGGGCCGGCAGGGCTAGGAGAGACGGAGAGCTGGCGAAGAGGGAGTGGGTCGCAGGTGAGAGGCTGGCCGGAGGACAGAAATGCTCCTTGTCACAGGAAGCGCGAGGACTGTTGGCGACTTTGACTAGGACGTTTCTGGGGAGTCTTGGGGGGAAACACCGGGCTGCGGGTGCAGGAATAAATGGCAGGTGAGGCAGCGTGGACTGTGTGGGGGCGGGTCTTGAGAAGAAGGGGGTTTTGTACAGGGAACAAGCACTAGGGCAGGAATTGTGTGGGGGATGAGAGCATCAGATGAGAAATTCGAGAGCGTGTGTGTTAGCTGGTGGGGATGGTCCAGGAGGAATGCGGTGATGGGGAAGGGACAGGAGGGGTGGCTGTGTCCTGAATACTTGGAGATGAGTCTCCCTCCCCGTGAGAAACTAGGGGACCCTGGAGGTTGGCAGTTGGGACCCATTCGTGTTTATATTCTTCCCAATAAGTCCCATCATGCTTTGCAGGAAAAAAGATGAGCTGCGTAGAACTGAACTCTATTCCATGGATTTGTTTATTTTTGTTTTGTAGTCTAAATGCCCAGCTGGTGATGGGGAAGGGACAGGAGGGGTGGCTGTGTCCTGAATACTTGGAGATGAGTCTCCCTCCCCGTGAGAAACTAGGGGACCCTGGAGGTTGGCAGTTGGGACCCATTCGTGTTTATATTCTTCCCAATAAGTCCCATCATGCTTTGCAGGAAAAAGATGAGCTGCGTAGAACTAAACTCTATTCCATGGATTTGTTTATTTTTGTCTTGTAGTCAAAATGCCCAGCCGAAAACATTGACAACTCTGGGAAAACAGCTCTACATTACGCAGGTAACTTCCATTCCTTGTTTGTCTTCTGCCGTAGACACACTAACTCTTCCTTTTCCTGATTCAAGCCATTACACTGACCATGTTATAGTATTCCTGGTGCTGTTTTCTGTTATTATTCCTAAACATTCCTACTTTATTCAGCTTGCAAAGTGTGTGGAGTTACCAAGGAATAAACCTAGAATTCACCCATTGCCCTCCAAACAACCAAAAAGAAATTGTTTTAATTATATTTTAATTAACTTAAAGGTTCTTTTTTAAACGAAGGGGTATTCATAAACATTTGTAGATTTCAAGTAATGTGTGACACAGAGTCTTTTATTTGGCATTCATTAATAACATCAATCCATTTATCAACATTTTGCTTTACTAACTATCTTGCAGCTTCAAGTGGCAAAATGTTGATACTGAGCTCTGGGATGATGAGATTGACAGGCTTCTTTTAGGGCTGGTTATGGAAACGCTAGGTCCAGTGTTTGCCTCCAGGCAACTGGCAGTCGCTGGCTTCAGGGCTGGCTAACACTGAAATTAACCAGTAATTGAAAACATCTCTTATTTTACCTTCCTGGCGCCATTTCTCTTCTATGCAGCCAGAGTGAACGGAGGCAAGCTGGGTAGAACCCCAACCTCTTCCTCGGGGGGAGGAGGGGTACCCAGGCTGTGAGCGTGGCTTTGTGATTGGCTGGTGTTTGTTTTCCCTTCCTCAGCGGCGCAGGGCTGCCTCCAGGCTGTGCAGGTTCTGTGCGAGCACAAGAGCCCGGTGAACCTCAAGGATCTGGTAAGTGGCAGGCGGCCACGCGGGGTGGAGGTGGACATGGTTTCTGGGGCACTGTGGGTGCTCCTGGGGGCCACTGACACTTTAGAGAGCTCAGTGTTTGGCGAATTCCATGGCTTTTCAACCTAACTCTTCTGCAGAGCGGATGGAAGTATTATCCCCATTGGTCCCTAAATCATACATAAAACAGTGTTTAAAATTGATTTTAGAGAGAGGGAGGGAGAGAGAGAGAAAGAAAGAGAACAAGACCATTGATCAGCTGCCTCCCGCATGCACCCCTACTGGGATCAAATCCGCAACCTGAGCAGGTGCCCTGACTGGGAATTGAACCTGTGACCTTTCGGTGTCTGGGACAATGCTCCAACCTGGCCAGGGCTAAATCAAACATTTTCTGCATGCACTTCCTATGTATGCATATTTGTACTTAAGGATATATATGTGGTCTCCCATCAACTTAAATATTAATAAGACGCAGTGTCTTGATTTTTAAAAATAAGTCTGAGGAGGAGTTTTATTCTTTTCCTTTGGTGCCCATGCATCACCGGGTACTGCTGGTCGGGGTTTCCCAGCTGTGAAGACCACTTCTAGCCGATCCTAACCCTCCTGGGCTTTTGGGAGAATCAGTTCACATGCCCGTTGCTCCTGCTGACAGGGTTCCGTTTCCTGCTGCTGCATGGGAATTGGTACATGCACACTTACACCTCATAGAGATATTGTGAAGTGAGCATATGGAATCTGTGCATACTTCACACTCCCTGGATTTCAGTACTTGATAACCAGAAAGTATTATAACTGCTCAGAGATAATTTCTTAGAAATGTGTCTGAAATTCTACTTTTAAAAGGAAACTTAATCCTTAAGCAGCAATCGTATTATGACAAACTAGAGGCCCGATGCATGAAATTCATGCAAGAGTAGGCCTTCCTTCCCCCAGCTGCCAGCACTGGCTTCCCTTCGGCCCCCAGCAGGCACCCGGACCCGGGCTTCCCTTGCAGCCCCGGCTTCGTTTGGAAGGTTGTCCAGAAGGACGTCCGGTCTAATTAGCAAATTACATTTTATTATTATAAATTCCCATGTTAAAATAACTGGCGCTATTGTAACTTACCTTTCTCCTTTGCCTATTTGAAAACATCTACCTTGAACAGGACGGTCAACCCCAGTTGTAGGGAATGTTCAAGAGGCAGAATGAAAACTTCTCTTGTGGTCCATGTCATTTGAATCGAGCCCCTTCACTCTAGGATTATGGAAATAGTTGCCTATATATTCTTCTAGTATTTTTCCATTTGCTTTATATTGTCGTGTTTAAATTCTTAATGCATGTATATGAGTCGGGGATCTAATTTTCTTTTTAGGAATTGCCAGTTGTCATATTGTAGCATATTGAGCCAATCATTCCTTCCATCCAGCTCTTTATCTAGTCCTGTGTCAGTGATGGACAAACACTTCCTTCATGTTATGTTTTGATACCTGGTAAGATTATGAAAGAGGATGCCTTCCAAGGACATAGTAGTGGCATGGGACCCATGTGGTTCACTCAGAGAGGCTGCGGGAGGACGGTGGGACCTCCAGCTGCCTTGTGAAGCAAGTCCTTCATTTCTCCAGGACCATCTCTCAGCAAACCTGGGATCTATACGTGCCTGGAGTAGCAACATACTCTCTCTCTCTCTCTCTCTCTCTCTCGTGGCCCAAGGAACAAGCGACTCAGGAGGCGGAGGCTCCTAGGAAAAGCTGAGTGAAATCCCATGAGAAGAGTTATGCTAAGATGTAGGGGCCCAACTGGAGCACAGACTATCACCTGGGGGGGGGGGTGGGGGGGTCAGCCATAAGACCAACAGGACAATTCAGGAATAAATGTAGAAAGAAAAGGACCTTTGCAATTCTGGCATTGGTGTCAGCGTTAAGAATCTTAATTGGCCTGGCTCAGAGGTGGATCATCGACCTATGAACCAGGAGGTCACGGTTCGATTCCTGGTCAGGGCACTTGCCCGGGTTGTGGGCTCGATCCCCAGTGTGGGCTGTGCAGGAGGCAACTGATCAATGATTCTCTCTTATCATTGCTGTTTCTATCTCTCTCTCCCCCTCTCTCCCTCTCTGGAATCAATAAAAATATATTTTAAACAAATAAAAATCTTACTCTGAGTTTGTCTCCTAGGATGGGAATATACCCCTGCTTCTTGCAGTGCAAAATGGCCACAGTGAGGTCTGTCGCTTTCTTCTGGATCATGGAGCGGATGTAAATTCCAGGGACAAGAATGGAAGGTACCACAGAATGTGAAACCACGTGACTTCAGGGATAGGCACATCCTGAGAGTCTTTCAAAATATCAGAGCAGTGTTTTAGACCATTTGTAGGAAATGGTTTTTAACTTAGCTTTTTTATTTTCTGCCTTAATAATCAAGAATCTGTTTTGACTTAAAAAAAATTTTTTCCAAATCTCTGGGAACATCATTGAATGTGTGATGAGATTATTAAGTACTAAAGTGAATAAGCCGTTTCTTATGCTTTTTCATGCAAAATTAAAGTAAAAATATTGGTTTCTTTTAAAAAATAAACCTAATAATGTATAGGTAATTTGAAATGCTTGAGGTGAAAACAATGACGAGCTTTGTGCTTGTTCTATTAAATTCCATCACATTTAGAAGATTTTGTTTAGAAGATTATGTCTATATTATTTGGCCTAATGTGGCTTAATGCTTTGAATGAATCTGAGGTTTTAAAAAACAACTACCTAATTTTATCTTGATAGCATTCCATTTTGAATTCCCTAGATGATGAAGTAGAGCACAGTTTTAACGGCACTTAATCTTCTTTTCCCTTTTTTTAAGACAAATGAAATGATTTCCCAGGAATCCGTTCTAATTAGTACTAACTTGGTGTTTGCCTTGTCTTTAGAACTGCTCTGATGGTGGCCTGTGAGATCAGCAGCTGTAATGTCGTGGAGGCCTTAATTAAGAAGGGTGCAGACCTAACCCTTGTAGATTCTCTCGGACACAATGCCTTACATTATTCCAAACTCTCAGAAAACGCAGGAATTCAAAGCCTTCTGTTATCAAAAATCTCTCAGGATGCTGGTATGTGAAAGAAAATAGCCGGTGTTGTTTTAAGTTTGTCCACCCCGTTTTCCCCAAAGGATAAAGGAATTTGTGCAATATGATATCTTTTATTATTCTTTTAAGCATTTTCTTGAAGAAAAATGAAGTATTAAGTATTGTGTGTATTGTGTGTATCCCTCCACCCAAAGTGGATATGAATTATTATGCTTCTTACAATTCTTTTCCTCCCCCCACTTTTTCCTCTATAGATTTAAAGACACCAACAAAACCAAAGCAGGTATTTATCTTTGGGAGAGGGGATTTTTTTCTTTCATCTTTGCTTGTGAGAATTTGAAAAATGTTCCGATTAAACCACTCTGTGGTCCTAGCAAAGTCATAAAGACTCTGTTGGAAACATTTAAGGAGTGAAATATCTTTAGCATAAATGATTCATCGTTACAAGGTGGTAAATATTTTCTAAATGGTTTACCCTATTCCCAAAGCTTGTCACTTTAAACCTGCTGCTTATATATGTATCTTTTTCTGAAATGTACTAATATTTCCTATTGTTGTGAAAATGTTTGATGTGGTTTAAGCTCAGAATGAATAACAGTATTTTAAATATTTGGGCTATCATATGGATTATAGAGCCACATCCCTGGCAAAGTTAGATAGTTAATGAAAATCAGAGGGTTCGCTTTTCCTTTTCATTGGGGCTGCTTAAAAATGTCATTCGTGTTACACCGAAATTGAGAAATTTGCCCTGATATTTTGGAGTTTTTTCTAAAAGCATAGCCACTGTTGTTTACTTTATTGTTAACGAGATGTATCTTTGGCTGTTTATTTACACATCAGAGTTTTTGAAAAAATTATAAACACAAAACTCAGTACTGAATGTATTAGGCACTAACTGTGTCACTTATTTATCCAGAACCTTTAGAGATGAGGTTCTCCCTGCCCCTATGTTTACATTCTGTGAGGAAAGGAGTGGAAGTGACGCGGAGTGGGGGACATGCCGCCCCTCTGCCTTAAGACGAAAGCTAGACTGTGACTGTATCGTGGGTTCTAAACGGTGGCCCACAGCTCCTCACCCTCCTCTCCCCCAGTTTCCACACCACCGTCAGCTGATTTCGTCTTGTGTTGTTATGTTCTTGCTATTAAAGCATGGGCTGCCGAGAGAACCTGTGAGCGTGCACATCCCTTACTTGTATGTGGGTAGCAGATTTCTGATCTCGATACCGTGAGGAATGCATGACCTGTGGAGGTGTTTGTGCCTGTTTGATGAAGCTGTGTGCTCAGACTTTACTAACCTCACTAACCCGCCTCCGTTCTCTGGCCTGTGACAACTTGCAGCATGACCAAGTATCTAAAATAAGCTCAGAGAGAAGTGGAACTCCAAAAAAACGCAAAGCTCCACCACCTCCTATCAGTCCTGCCCAGGTAAACACCACGCAGCCCGGGAACTCGCACCGCAGAGGCGCCGTCTTGTCGTTCTGTGTGTCGCCAGAAAGAATGTTTTAGAGTTGAGCCTTCAGCGCACATGGAAGATTTTTCTTTACAAATTGTGGTCTGGAGGATTTTGATGATTACCATGGAAATAAGGTTGATTGTTATTTCAAAACGGAAGAGGTGAACCGTATCTATTTTTTTTTAATATGTTTTTTATTGATTTCAGAGAGGAAGGGAGAGGGGGAGAGAGAGAGAGAAATATTAGTGATGAGAGAATCATGGATCGGCTGCCTCCTGCACATCCCACACTGGGAATTGAGTCCGCAACCCGGGCATGTGCCCCAAACGAATCGAACCAGGACCTCCTGGTTCATAGGTCAATGCTCAACCACTGAGCCACACTGGCCAGGCAAACAGTATCTTTTTTTTAAGCCTTAAGGAAATTTCTCAACGTCTTTATGACGGAGACTTTTCCTTAAGTTGACAAGTTCAGTTCCTTTGGGCCCTCAAGCCCTAGTGTGAAGGGCAGGAGAACGGGTAGCTGGTGAAGCAGTTAGTTAAAAATGAATTGTAGTTGGTTTCTGAAAACACTGTTAAATTATATTTGCCTTTCTAATTACATTTAAGGTTGACTTAAAAGCAGCTTTCATTTCTGGTTATAGTGACTACTGCAGAGAGGAGGAAGCGCAGATGTCTTTGAAATGGCAATAAAAGGAGGCTGGGTTTGTTATTAAAAGAATCATGGGCCATAAAAAGAATAATCCATATTCAAATAGTTGAGCGCAGTATCTCATCTGATAAGTAATTTTAACTATGTTAGCATGTTCATTAAAAATGTTCTCAACCTGCCATATAAGTCATCGATTTTTAAAATCGATGTACATATAGGAGCAAAGCCGTTTAGTTATATGTCCTACAAATTTTCAGAAAGTATTTGAGGTTTCTGAATTGCACTAAAGATCTGTCACCCCCCCCCCCAAAATAATTGAACCTGAGAATTACTGTTCGATTTGTTTGCATTACTGAAATGCTTTGACACTGGCGGAGAAAAGACTTTGAAGAAGCCTTCTTCACCGATGGTTTTCATTTTCTCTTTTTAGTTGAGTGATGTGTCTTCCCCAAGATCAATAACTTCAACACCAATTTCGGGAAAGGAATCAGCATTTTTTGCTGAACCACCCTTCAAGGTATTTCCTTCCTGTGTTCAATTTGGCTATTGAATTGTATGAAACATAGTAGGTTTGGTTTAAGTTATGTGACACTGGGCAAAACAGAATTACTTCTCAGGGGTTGGTTTACAAACTTCTCATCTGCAAGCACCCTTGGTTATTTTCCTGGCGTGGACTCCATCCCAAAAGAATAGGATGAATAAATTGCATTCATTAGCTAATCATTAATTTCTTCATTTAATAAAAAGGGACAAAGGTGAAGCTTACCTGACAACCAGTATTCTTTTCTTTTTTTTTTAACATATTTTATTAATTTTTTACAGAGAGGAAGGGAGAGTGATAGACAGTTAGAAACATCGATGAGAGAGAAACATCGATCAGCTGCCTCCTGCACAACCCCCACTGGGGATGTGCCTGCAACCAAGGTACATGCCCTTGACGGGAATCGAACCTGGGACCCTTCAGTCCGCAGGCAGACGCTCTATCCACTGAGCCCAAACCGGTTAGGGCTAGTCTTCTTACTAAACTGAGTTGATATAATGCCAATCAAATGAAAAGTTACGTTGTTCTCTGATGTCTTACTGAGAAGTAATTGTATGTTTTTAATTAAACTTTTTTCCTGACTATAACAGTAACATGTATTTATTTTAGAAAATTTTTAAAAATCCACTAGGTTTTATTCCACCTGGTTCTGTAGACTTGTGGTTGGAAATTATTTTTAAGAATGGGAGGGTATTTAATATCTATTTACCTAATAATCACTAGAAAATTGCACTTGGGAAGAAAGTAGTTTATTAATGTTAAAATGAAATTTCAGTGGTTTAATTGTATATTTATTTCCCCCATCTAAGAGTTACTAAAGATAAATTTTCTTTTAACTTGGAAGCACTTTGATCTGAAAAAGATTATATTAACCCGTCATTTCCCTCACTGTAACTAGATTTTACTAGTAAACTCTTGAGATGAATACATATGCAAGGCAAGGCAAGGAAGTACACTCTTACAGTTAATACCCTAATATCTTCTCATATGCTTATGGCTCCAATGAGGCAATAATAGCACAAGTTGTTATTTTTCGAAATAGAGTGCATAAAGACCTTTAAAAAACATAAGGAAATAAAAAGTGACACCAGTTATGATGGCTAAAATTTAAAGAGATTAAAAACACCAATTGTTGGTGACGACGAAGGAGAATTAGAGCTCTGATGCTCTTGGTGGAAATATCAAATGGTACAACTACTTTGGAAAAATGTTTGACACAGTTTTTTTTTAAAGTTCAACACATGATCTAGCCATCCACTCCTAGATGTTTACCGATGTGAAACTAAAATGTATGTCTCAAAAAAATCTTACACACAAATGTTTGCCAGTATACCTTCTTTTCTTGAGATGTTGTAACTGTTTTTCTAGTAAGATAACACCCGGGAGGAAATTTTGCTTGATTCCTCTGCGGGCCGTTACATTCAGGAATATTCTTGTAAGTCATCTTTGTGTTCTAGCAGGCCGAGATCAGCTCCATACGGGAAAACAAAGACAGACTGAGTGACAGCACTACAGGTAAGCTGGGAGGCACCTGCCTCTGTCCTTTTGACTCGTCTCTGTCCCATGAGAGCAGAGGCCAAGCGGGGCTCCTCTGTGTGGGGAGGCCGGAGAACCCCGGCGTGCCCCCCCAGAGCTGCCAGTGCCACACGGCTCGTGCCCGCTGTACCTCAGGGCACCTTCACCTGGATTTTAAGGCGTCTCAGAGCCCGGATGTGAAAAAACGTATCTCTGTTGTCATTTGTCCCAAACTAAGTTTTAGCACTTCCTTCAATTATGATCATAGACAGGAACCCAAGTGGCATAAGCGGACCAGGGACTTTGACACCAAGAGCTTTCGCAGGTAGCGTCCTCTCACCCGGCTGTTGTTACAGCTGCTTGAAATAGCATTCTCAGTACCTCCTAGAAATCGTGGCCTCCCTAGACCTGCTGCCAGATCTTGTTATTCGTTCTGTCACAAAATAAGTCCTTAAATTACTGTAGCTGCCTATTCTAAGTTGCATATTGAAGTGGTTGCTTTGAGATGAGGCCCGTGGGCTGCAAGCTGGCAGCTCTCCTTGAAGGTGAGCAGCAGGTGGTTTCCTGAAGGGAGAGCCAGCCGAGCACCCGGTGTCTGCCACACGCAAAACGGTGTGCTGATGAAACCACACAATCGTATTGTCTTCATCGGGTCAGGGTTTAGTTCATGGCGTTGAGTCCATCCTGCGGGTTTGTCCTCTAAGCAAGTAGTATAGGACCTCTAGAATCAGTTTAAAATATAGATTATTGCAAAGGTCCTTTTTTGCTCGAGTATTCAGTTTCTTAGTCTTAGCATTTCATGTGTTTGGAACCTTTAACTTACGGAGGAGAAATATTGGCCCTGGATGGTGCAGCTCAGTTGGTTGAGCATCGTCCTGTGCACCAAAGGGGTCGCCGGTTCCATTCCCAGTCAGGACACTTGCCTGGGTTTGGGGCTCGATCACCAGCAGGGGGTGTGCAGGAGGCAGCCGGCTGATGTTTCTCTCTCACATTCATGTTTCTTTCTCTCTCTCTTCCTCTCTCTCAAATCAATTAAAAAACATTTATAATTTATAAATATTAACTTTCTTATTCCTAGTAGAGACCAGTGTTAACATTACTGTAACAGTTGTTACATTGGACGCTTTAAAACTCATCCATTGTATCTTAGAAGTGATTTCTGTTGTTTAGAATTACAGTCCTGCTCCCAATCCCCTGATTCATTCCATGCTTACGTGACTGCATGTCATAAAGCTGCAGGTTGGGCACTAGACGTCAGAAGTAAGCGTATCTATGAAGAAATGTCAGTTTGTATCTTTTCAAATGAAGAGAAAAGCTTTTGCGTTGCATTAAATGGCTGTGAAAAATTTTTAAATAACAGGAAAACATTTAGATCAGTGCTATTCCGATCAGCCTATACAGTGCTGCCATTGCACGATAAACATAAGGAATCTGCACTAGACAGTCATCAGCCATATCACTAGGCATACTGTTTTGTCCGGCTGATGTTTTTTTCATAAGAAAACTTTCCAGGTGAAGAAAGCAGTACATTGAATTATATTCTGGAGCAAATTCCTTGTCTCCATCAGTGAGCACATTGAATAGCATTGCTTTCGATGCTATTGCAGCGTGATGGTCAGTAGGATGTCTCCAAGTTGTGGCTTACCCACGGTGTTTACTGCGGATTTAGAGAAGACCGTATCATGCTGCAGTGGTCAGCAGATAGTCTGTGGAGGAGGCAGAGTTTGACATGGCTCTCCTGAAGGATGCCGAAGAGTTATCTAACCAGAGATGTTGCAAGCGCGGTCGTATGGATGAAGTGTTAAAGAAGCAGCCTTGTGTTGAGAATATAGAGGGTCTGATGGAAACCTTGAATCTGAGGAGTATGGGATACCAGAGGAAGAAATCATGAGTCATAAACCTGACACAGTAGATTGGGGCCAGATCATAGCGGTCTTAATGTAGATAAAGGGATTTGCAGATTTGGAGGGAGAGCAGTTAAAGCACTTGACCCGAAGGAATGGCCCGATCAAAGCATATTTTAGGGTGATTAGTGGGACAGTGGTGTGCAGGCTACATTTTTACTAGGGCGAGGCGGGAGAGAGAGACATTTATTGGAAGCTGTTTGCAAAGTTTCAAAGTAGCTGATAACGTTTAAACCTGTGTAATGGCGGTGGGGTTAAGAAGTGAGCCATCTTCCAGAGGTGTTTCTAAAAGGATTCACAGAAATGGGGCTCATTAAGTATGGGAGGGACAAAAAGCAGCCAAGCTGTGCTTAATCGAGTGAATGGAAAGATGCATGATCAAATCCATCAATTTTCAGGTGAGGTGCTGTGCATCCAGGTATCTAGGGTTGTGCTGGGGATACCCCAGTAAGGAAACCCAGAGCCGAGAATTGCTGTTTACTTATCCAGCTGATGGAGCTCTCATTCTTAGAACCAGGAAGAAGAACTGGATTGGGCAGAAAGGGGGTTTGTTAGAGGCCAGAGAAATAACTGTTTAATTTTTAAATATTAGTTTGCATTGCCTTTCTCTTTCCCCAGGTGCTGATAGCTTATTGGATATCAGTTCTGAAGCTGACCAACCAGATATTCTTGTCCTATTACAAGCAAAAGTTGCATCTCTAACTCTACACAATAAGGAATTACAAGATAAACTGCAGGTAGGTAGATCGATCACCGCCACAGACTATTCTGTTGGGTTAAGATACTGGGTTTTTCAGGGTTAGTCAGATGATATTTTATTTTAAACATCTACATTCGTTTCTTCTTTTTTAATATAGTTAGCCTCAACTATATAGATCTAAGCCTTTATAGTTCCAAGTTATTTCTTTTTTGAAAGAATTATTCATTAGCCCTATTTCTGTAAGTTTCTAAATTGGTAAATTATCTATAATTATATACATAGTATGATATATAATATGACAAATTATATATATAGATAGATAGGTAGATAAGTGTAAAGATATGCGATTAGCCATTCATTTAGTAAAGTTGATCATTTAGCAGATTTAAGAAGTAACTGTACTAAGCCCATTCATTGCCCATTTCAGCATAAATAATATGAGAAATAAAGGGAAATTTTGAGCCAGAGGCTTTGCAGCCAAAGCAAATCTACTGTTTTTCAAGTGGCGCTAAAAATCTGTTCGAATAGAACACAGTGTCGGTAATCTGACTCCCGGGTCTCAGGAGATATTTTTTCACGAGGCGAGAGTACACCCGCAAGACGATCCCGCTGCTCGCCCCTACGAAGGTTCTGGGTGTGTGCTCTCCTTCTAGGTGCTTGCTCACCTAACCGCACTTTGGGTGCCATTTCATTATTCTTGCTTTTTTTTTTTTTTTTAGGCCAAAACCCCCAAAGAGGCAGAAGCGGACCTGAGCTTTGACTCTTTCCATTCCACTCACACTGACTTGGCCCCGTCTCTCGGGAAACCGAGTGAAACCTCTCCCCCCAACTCCGGATCCCCTCCCCCGGCCTCTGCCCACTCCCTGAGTAAACCCCCAGTGGACGGCGGCGATGTCAGGCTTCAGCAGCTGCAGGAGGTCTTGCAGGACCTGCAGAAGAGACTGGAGAGCTCCGAGGCGGAGAGGCGGCAGCTGCAGGCCGAGCTCCAGTCCCGGAGCCCAGAGCCCGCGCGCTTGAACAACGCCGAGATTTCTGAGAACGGCTCCGACCTCAGCCAGAAACTGAAAGAAACTCAGAGCAAGTACGAGGAGGCGATGAAGGAAGTCCTGAGCGTGCAGAAGCAGATGAAGCTGGGCCTCGTGTCGCCCGAGAGCGCGGATTCTTACTCTCACCTCCGGGAGCTGAGGGTCCCCGAGGAGGAGGTACGGGCGCTGAAGCAGGACCTCCAGAAGGCACTGGAAGACAGTGAGAGGAACAAGGAGAAAGTGAGGGAGTTAGAGGAGAAACTGGCCGAGAGGGACAAGGGGGCGGGGAATCAGCCGCCCGCGGAAGAGTACGAGGCAATGAAAAGTTCCTATTGCTCTGTTATTGAGAATATGAACAAGGAGAAAGCGTTTCTGCTCGAGAAATACCAGGAGGCCCAAGAAGAAATCGTGCAACTGAAAGATACTCTGAAAAGTCAGGTGGCGCAGGAGCCCGGCGACGACGCTGGGGACATGAAAGAGGCCATGCACAGGATGATCGACGAGCTCAACAAGCAGGTGAGCGAGCTGTCCCAGCTGTACAAGGAGGCGCAGGCCGAGCTGGAGGACTACCGCAAGAGGAAGTCTCTGGAAGACGTCACAGCCGAGTACGTCCACAAAGCGGAGCACGAGAAACTGATGCAGGTGGCCAGCCTGTCCAGGGCCAAGGCGGAGGAGGCGCTGTCCGAGATGAAGTCCCAGTATTCGAAGGCGTTGCAGGAGTTGGCTCAGCTCAAACAGCTGGCCGAGGCCCAGAAGGAGAACTCCGTGTCCATCACCGAGCACTTGCAGGTGATCACCACGCTGCGGACGGCCGCCAAAGAGATGGAGGCGAAACTCGGCGGTCTCCAGGAGCTCCTGGCCAGCAGGGAAGTGGAGGTGGCCAGGCTGGAGAAGCAGCTGGTGGAAGAGAAGGCGGCGCTGACCGAGGCCATGGTGCCCAGGGCCGCCTACGAAAAGCTCCAGGCGTCGCTGGAGAGTGAAGTGAGCGCGTTGGCCTCGAAATTAAAGGATTCCGCGAAAGAGAAAGAGAAGGCCCAGTCAGAGGTCGCCCAGGTTAGAAGTGAGGCCTCACAGTTGAAAAGGGAAAAGGAGACGCTTCAGACTCTCTTGCGATCCAAAGAGCAAGAAACCGGGGAACTCCTGCAGAAGTCGCAGCGTGCGCAGGAGGAGCTGGCGGAGCTGAGGCGGCACTCGGAGAGCTCTTCCCGGCTGGAGGAGGACAAAGACAGGAAGGTGGGCGAGGGCCCTTGCTGTTGAGCTTCTAGCTAGTGAGCCCAGGGACCTTCTGTCGTTCGCATGTTTACCATTTGTTCACACTAACTTGCTGCGAATGCTCAGAGGCTCGGCACACGAATCCCTCTGTCCCCAAAGCCACATTAGAGTAGTAGGTTAGACATTTATTTAAAAGAACGACACTTCCCTTATCGTAAAGCATTTTCACATCTGGGGTGCATAATTTTTCTTGAGAAATGACTTTACAGAAGCTCTGCCAAGTGTCAGGGCTCAGAAGTAACCCCACAAACTGAAAAGTGCTTGTGACCGATCTTGAACTTGAACTCTTGGCATCCAGACAGATTCCTCTGTCATATGGAACCCAAATACTTCCAGACTTAATCCCGCTTCCCTAAGCCCCATGGGCTTTCCCGAGTCAGTATAAAAATTGCCTTTCCTGGCCCTCATTTTCACCCGTGCATGGGAGGGGAGCGGGGGAGGAATGTGGGGTGCGGGTGATGAGAGACGGGCTGGGTGTGGCCTGAGGAAGAGGGGGGAGCGGAGCGCAGGATGGTTCTGTGCCAAATCTGCTCTGCTGCCAGTCCCCTGGGCCAGATGCTCTGAGTGGCATGGACTAGAGCACTGGTGATCATTTAGTCCTTTATGATGATGGATGCTTCCAAAGAGCTTTCAAAGCCAAGAGGGTAGGGAGGGGGGAGGTGGAGGGAGGGTTGTGTTTACTTTAAAACAAGATGTCCAGAGATATCAGGGTTTCTATAACTTATTCCTAATTGCCCATGCCAACAAATAAGGAATGCCTAAAATCCTATTTCTGTTAAGAAAAAACAAGAAAGGGAAATCAATGTTATAGTGTTTATCTTTATGCATCAAAACACAGTATTTAATTGGGGGCCCTAATCCTATATAATAAAAGGCTAACACGCAAATTGTCCCTTCTACCGGGAGTTTGACTGGGAGTTCGACCAGAGGGTGGGGCCAGCTGGCCAATGGCCCACGGCCCCTCCCCCTGGCCAGCCAACCTCCCGCATCCCCTCCCCGGGCCTGGCTGGCCAGACCCCACCTGTGCACAAAATCGTGCACTGAGCCTCTAGTTTGAATATAATGGCCTTAGAAGGCTTCGTGGGTTTGTCTGATTTTGTTATGTGTTTCATTTTATGGGTTCTCTTTGAAATGTACAAAAGGAATTGTTCCAGAGTCTCAAGTCCTGGAGGCTAACAGAGGCTGTGTTCAAGGCGTAGGAATACCTGGAATTTTGCTTCTGCAGGCACGTTCCTGCCTGTTGGTAATAGCTTTCCTTTTTCACTAGATAAACGAGATGTCGAAGGAAGTCACCAAGCTGAAGGAGGCCCTGAACAGCCTCTCGCAGCTGTCCTACTCGGCGAGCTCCTCCAAGAGGCAGAGCCAGCAGCTGGACGGGCTGCAGCAGCAGGTCAAGCAGCTCCAGACCCAGCTGGCTGTGAGTGGGCTTGCCCCCGCCTGGTGGGGTGGAGGGCGAGGCGGACTGCATGCCTACTCCGCTGGGAGGGCAGGTGGGCACGGCCGGAGTCCCAGCCTACAAGAGTGTGTACTTCAGGGAGCAACTCACGGTGCCCTCTTTGGTGAGGGCAAAAGAAGGAACTGTCAAATTACCACTTATTATCTGCCATGAGTTGGGGGATGTATCTCTGAGGAGGAGGAACCGGCAGGACAGTGGAGTAGGCTTGTTCTTCCATCCACCAGCTTTTCGCCCCTTCTCCATTCTCTGCAACAGCCATAACCGTCTCTCACAGTGGCGAGTGCTTTTCTTGCTAGGGGCCAGGATCTCTGGTAGTTGCGTATCTCCGGGTCTGAAGCTGTTTCTTGGCCCCGCCCCTTTTTCACCCGGAAAGTCCTCTCATATCTGGATTAGTTTCCGATGACTATTTCCTATGACAGAGCAGCACAAACTTGGTTTAGAACAACACACATTTATTATCTTAAAGTTCTGGAGGTCATCAGTCTTGCTGGACTAAAGTCGGGATGTCAGCAGGGCTGGTTCCGTCCGGAGGCTCTAGGGGAGATCCACTTCCTTGCCCTTCCTAGCTTTTAGAGGTCACGTGAATTCCTTGGCGCATAGTCCATGCCGCCATCTTCAAAGGAGAGCACTTCAGCTGTGGTTCTGTCCTCCCATCTCCTCCTCCCACCGTTGACCTTGCTCTCTCTCTTAAGGACCCTTGTGATCGCATTTACGTAAGGTGCACCCAAATAATCAGGATACTGTCTCTCTCCATCCCACAATCCTTAGTCACACCGTAAGGTCCCTTTACCATGTAGGTAACAGGCTCTGGGATTAGGACGTGGGCGTCTTCGGAGGGCCATTGTTTAGTTACTGCAGGATCAGTTAAGGTTTCAGTTGACAAGGGTATCTATTTTCTGTGTGAAATCGAGGGTTAGTCTGTCCTGGGCCATCGCTAGCTTCCTGTTACAAACAGGACCTGGCTTTTACGATTTCTTCAGGGCACAGTTGATGCACTGGCGAGTTCAGATTTCTGCCGTCCTGAGTCTGGCTGGCCACCAAGGCCAACACCAGCTGTTCTGAGCTCCCAGCGCTAGCACTGGAGGAGCAATCAGGGGAGAAGACGATGCTCCCCACTGTGTTCTGCGGGTCACTTTTTGAGAAAGTGGTGATCACAGACGTGTAAAGTGCTCATGGTTTCGACAGGCATTCTTACAAATACTCAACAGGTGTTTAAGGAGTTCTTCTGTGTCAGTATTGTCCAAGGTACTGATGGTATAAAGATGAATAAGACACAGCCCCTGCCCTCACGATTGATATGTAATATGGCTTGCCGTATTCCTGATGTGGTCAGCATTCATCGATAGAGAGACGCCCAACACGCTGAGGGCAGCAGAAATGTGTGCTTACCCAGCCTGGGTGAGTCTCGAAAGGCTTCCTACAGAAGGTGGTGCTTGTGCTGAGTCTCGAAGGGATGAGTAGGAGGCAGCAAGGACCGAGATGTGGCATTTAGTGGCCCTGGGTAGCCTTGGCAAGAACACTTCCAGTGGCATGGCAGCCAGATCTGCCCTGCCTGCTGGAGAAGTGAGTGAACAGTGAGGTGTCGGATGGGGCTGAAGAATCCCAGTGGGAGATGGGGAAGCCTGAGGTAGGTTTGCTAGAAGGACAGGAGATGGTGGTCAGAGGGTGGGATGCTGTCGGTTGAGATTTCAGAGGCAGTGAGACAGGCAGGGCCATGACCATGAGAGTGAGTGGCTGGAAGGAGGAGGAGCAAGTCACTGAAGCTGAAGTGGAGGAACTGGGAGGCCAGGGTTAGGTGGCTCCTCCATGCAGATGCTGCAGTCAACCCACTGCTGCCAGAAGCCGGGATGGAAAGGAAGGCAGTGACCAGAGAGAGTTATCAATGATTGCGTGCAGGCGACCGAGAGGTGGGAGGAAACAGCAGAGAGATACCAAGCACGCCTTCTGATGGCGTGAACGTCAAAGGGCTGAGGTTGAAGGGTTCTCCTTGAGTAGGAAGGACACATGTCAACGATGATAGGAAGGCGACGACAAGGAGTATTGGGAGACTTGTGCAGATTTTTGAAGAGATCCATCTACGGCAGTCTCGGTTTTCATCGTGAAGTAGGAGGAAGGGCCTCTTTTTAGAAGAGCTAAGAGCTAAGTGAGGCTCCTTGAAGTCGGCGCTGAGAGGAATTGGAACGATCGCTCCGCAAGGAGACGTAGAACCATTGGCAGCTCTGCCGAGGGACCATGGCGATCGATGCCACCACCCCTCCTCGGTGCCAACAGCTCAATCAATGCGCCTCCCGGGGAGTATATGGTGCCAGCTATGGAGTGGGTGGTAATAACTCCCTTTGAAAGAATGTATTTTTTTAATTAAAATATTTGGTTATTGTAGAAAAGTTAGAAAATGTAGAAAAACTCTGAAAAAGTTCCAAAAAATAAACTGCTAATTATTCAACCACTCAGAGATGATTACTTTTTGCATTTGATGTATTTCCTTGCACTATTTACCTTGTGTGAATGTATCTGTATAGGTGCATAAAGTATGTATATGTGTGTGTGTATATATATATATATATATATACACATACACACACACACATATATATATATACACACACACACACACATATGCAACAAGTTTGGGATTATAACTACTTCTTACATGAATTTTCTTCTAGAGTTGACATACAAAGTCATAAAATAGATTTTTTTCCCCCCTGAGAATATTGACAAGTATTCAGAAACACACAAGCCAGTGAGCTCACAACAATTTAAAAGCTTCTATGTGAGCACTGGATGGAGGGAGTCACTTGGGGAGCATTTGGCCACAGCTCTCTGTAACCAAGTAAAATTACCTCTTCCTAGGAGTGCAAGAAGCAACACCAAGAGGTCATATCGGTTTACAGGATGCATCTTCTGTACGCTGTGCAGGTATGGTAACGCCCTGCGAAGTGCCCGGATACCTGAAAGAAATACTGCAGTCCACGTTGCCCCAAGTCCCGTCATCAAACTAGTAGAACGAATGAGAATTCGAGGAGAACCCTGTACCTAGGAAAGCTTTCAAATGCCTTTCGCTTGGCTTTGGATCTTGTGTCGGGAACCCTGTCCTAACTGCTGAGAGCAACCTCGGCATTTCTTGAGAAATAGGAGGACGCAGCTGCTGCTCCCCCACCCGCCAGCTGCCCACCCTCAGAATCGGGAGCCCGGGCTTGATGTTCGAGGCTTGTCCATATTTTCACTGCTGGTGGTTTGGCTCACTGGGCTCATATTTGCTACGGACACCCCAGAAACCCTTTGCTGGGGCTCTGTCAGTCTTGGCCTCGTCATCCTCCAGGGGTTCAAGAGCAGGGCCCTCCCGGTCTCAGTTCCCTAGAGAAATGTGGGGATTGCTAGGGGTAACATTCCTTGGGAAGATCAGGGGCCCAGGGCTTCCTTCATCCCAGCCAGCCATCTCGTTCTCTCGGCGAGACAGGACTTAACCGAGGTTCCAATGACTGTCTTCTGTTCGACCTTCTAGGGCCAGATGGATGAAGATGTCCAGAAAGTTCTGAAGCAGATCCTTACCATGTGTAAGACCCAGGCCCAGAAGAAGTAGAGTGGGTTCCCCGGCGGGACACTGCCCCTCGCTGTCCACCTTGGGGTTGGACCGGAGTTGCTGGCGACCACTGCCATTGTTCTTGTTCGTGGTGTGCACCGTGACCTGGCCTGGCTTCTTGCCCTTGCAAGGCTGCTTTCTGAGGACTGGCCCCGGGAGAAGACTGTCCCCTCAGAACTGCGGAGAGACTCAACAGCAGCAGAGGGGACAGGCGCTGTCATCGCTTCTGATTCCAGAGCTGGGTCGGCCGTGCCCAGGAGCCGGGCCTGGTGCTGGGGCTTGGGCCTCCTCCTGGTGCCTGACCAGCTGTGTGGCTCCATCCTCACTGAGCGATCTGTGGACACCTCCGCGCAGTGAATGCTGCCGGGGTCCTCCAGCGCAGGGGAGCCCCCCTTTGCCTCTGGTTTCCAGTCCGCAAACATGATTTGACTTCTAACCAGATTAGTGCAGCGCTAGTGATGCGGTGCCCGCCTAGGACCCTTTACCCGATGTCCTGTGGGTTTGAAAACTTTTAATCCCATCTTTCCCCCCATCTGCCTTAGGTAGCTCGTCACCGGCTGGTCAGTCTGAGCTGGATGAGCACCGTTCACTAAAAACATGAAGCTTAGAAAGAAAAGCAAGCTGCCCTTAAAAAGTTTTTAAGTAAATCGTTGACGTGTTGCAAATTCTCTATGCAAACTTGCCTTCTGCCGTTACCCACAAAGCTCAGGAAATCCAGTCGTGTTTCAACGAGGGACAGTAAACTGCGTGTTTACAGCCAAAAGAAACGCCTCATCGTTCTTAACCTCAATTTTTTAAAAGTGGTGTTTTTTTTTCTCTCTACAGTATTTTTATTGGCTCTTAAAGATGTTTTCATATCTAAACCCCTTGAGTAAGTGAAATTCACATGAGACTATATTAACAAAATATTTTTTAGGTAACCATGCTTAAGACTTTTTAGAAATAGGACTTTTTCCTCAAAGTTTTCAGCGATAGCAAAAGGTAGTTATATATTCCAAGCTCAGTGTGAGCTGCCAGACCCTCAGCACTGGAGTGCGTTTCTTAAGAGAGTGAACCCTCCTTGTACCCGGTGAACACTTTTGAGTGCCCCGGCTCTGCCAGCGCCCAGAGAGGATCTCTGGAAGAACTGTTAGTGACAGTCCGTGTTTCAACTTGGAGACGAGAAACCCCGATATGGTAAACATCGGGGTGCATAGCCAAGGTCTTTGGGGGGGAAATATTTCTGTTCCCTTTCTTTACTTTCAGGTTAAAAAAACAAAAATGTTTCTAACTTGCTTGCCACTTCCCTGTCAGCGTGGATCTTCCTGAGGGATGTAAACAGAAAACAGAAATCTGCCAAGTGTGTAATTAAAAGCGCAGGCCTGCTCCGACAGGAACCGGACCGCAGGGCCGCCCGGGCCGGGGGAGCTTGGCTGCACTGAATGCCGACCAAGGCCAGCAAAGCAGAAACGGCTGTCCGGCGCCGTGTTCCTTTTCCTGAGTTGTTTATAGTTAAGCAATTTCGAAAATGCTGCAAAGAAATGTGAAAGGACTTTCCGTCACAGCACTTACGGAGACACAGGACACCCCTCGTGCCCCGCACAGAACGCTGCGGAGTGGGAGACTGGGAGACTGGGGGGTGCTTGACACAGCCGCCTCTCAGCGCGTTCAGGATGCATATTTATTACAAGTACTCGGTGAGATATTGGAACGCCGTGTGCCGTAGGGTAGCACTCTGCCTTGGTGATGTACTGAAGGTATGACGGAAATAAACTTCTGTTCTGTTTTGCATCTCTGCTGCTGCTTTTCGTTGCTCCTCCCAACCCTGAGTTCCCATCTCCACAGCCACAGCTATTTTCGTGTGATCTGAGACCGTCCGTGTCGGGGTGTGCGCGGGGGCGTGTGTTTTACTTTCCCCTTTAAATGGAGAAGCATACTTCACACCCTCTTCTGGGCCTTCGTTTTCCACTTAAAAGGCCTGGAGGTTGCTCTCGGCCAGCACACACAGCTCATGCTTTTAAACCAGGCGTGGGGAACCCTTTTCCTGCCAAGGGCCATTTGGAATATTTTTATAACATCATTTGAGGGCCATACAAAATTATCAACTTAAAAATGAGCCTGCTGTATGTGGTCAAATGTTTATTTAACTCAATCCTAATGCCTTGGCAGGGCCAGACCAAATGATTTCCCGGGCCTTATACAGCCCGTGGGCCGGACGTTCCCCACCCCTGCTAAACTGTGGCATAATATGTCATAGTATGATTGTGCTATATTTTATTTAACTAGCTCCTCGTTGATGGGCATTTAACCTGCTTCCAGTAGTTGACAAGTATTCAGAAACACACAAGCCAGTGAGCTCACGACAATTTAAAAGCTTGGGCCTGACAACGATGCGATGACTGTCCTATCTGTCAACATCTATGCATACGCGTGAGGATTTTCACCCTCCCTCTCACCATGTGATACAGGAGCGCAGAGGAAAAGCAGTGGGGTAGTGTATGCATCATCACAGCGAGTGAGAAAGAATGGCCTTTGTCTTCACACTGGTTAAGAGTCCTCAATTTGTTTTCCGTACATAAGCCTAAGCTGGACTCCAAAGCTTTTAACAATGAACCCCACCCACCTTAAGATAAACACATGATGTACTGTGTGGAGAACACGCTCCCCAACACGTTGAAGCACAGCCTTTCTCCATGCGACACAGCTGTGGCATGCCGGGTGCTGACCGCAGCAGAAACATTACCCAGCAGAGATGGGGTGACACTTTTTGAGCAAAGTTAGCAGGCAGGACAAAGAGTGAGCTGGAAAAGCAACAGACCCGGGCATGTGGAGTAGCGATTTCTGTTCCCCGGCTCAGCAGAGAACTGCCAAGCACCGTGGGGGTCTGTGGCATATCTGGGACAGGACAAGATTGTTGCCACACGTGAGCCATGGGAGCTGGTAGAGGGAGCAATCCATGTGGGTTCCAGCTGGTGGGAAGGGTCCCCTGAGGAGTAAATCCCCCAGAGATGGAGGTGAGTGAAAGGGAAGAAAAGAGACATTTCTGCACATTCATTAAAAACCAGGCCCCCAAATGGGAAGAAACAGTATATTCGAGATTGGATGCACCCGATTATAAATGGAGCATGTGTAGGGGAGAAAAGGAGCAGGTCGGCCAAATGATGTTAAGATTTTAACAGGGGAAGAGATAGGCAGTTCCCTATGTGTCACCTCCAGGTGTTTAAACCTGAGCCATTGAATTCAGGTTAACCACTCTGGAAGGCAGAGTAACATCCCTCCCCTCCCCAAAGAAGTCCATGTGCTAATTCCCAGAACCGGTGAATCTTTGATGTTAGGTGGCAAAGGGGGATTATGTTTGCAAGTAGAATTAAGGTTCACAATCAGCTGACCTTAGGACGAGATGATCCGGTTGTGCAGGTGGGCCTGAGGTGAGCAGAAGGGTCTTCAAAGTGGGAGGAGTCCGTGTTAAAGACGCTGCACTGCTGGCTCTGAGGTGGAGGATGAGGCCCGGACCAGGGAATGCAGGGATCTCTAGAAACTGAAAAAGGGCAAGAAAATGAAATTCTGTCCCAGGGCCCCTAGGAAGAACCATCTTGTCTCCAGCCCGGCGGCAGCCACTGCAGACTTCTGACCTCCAGGACGATGAGATGATACATTTGTGTTAAGTCACTAAGTTGGACCGACCCCAGGGAAGGCCTCCGTATAAATTTCTAAGATTTGGTGGGTAGGTGCAGAAATCTGGTCTTGCTGCTGCCCAAGACAAGCCTGGTGAGTCAGTTCCCTTGCTTATTAAACCCACCACCTCCCACTCTGAGTGATCTGCCTTTTTCTTTGGCCTCTCCCTGCCCTCCAAGTATGGGGACCTGTTTCTGATTACACCCAGGAAGCTCCCAAGGAGGTGGCGACCCAACACTCGTCCTGTCTTGAGAGGCCAGAAAATGTGTTTTAAGAAATTGCACAAGAGAGAGTTTATTTGGATTTCTTTGTTCTTAAGTGTCACAGTTCCTGGGGCTGGAATAGTTTGGAAATAATCACATTCACCTTGAGGTTGGAAGAGTCTAGAAGTACCCTCTACACATGCTTCCTCTATGTGACTTTTGCAATGGCCACGCTTGCCTCTCCCACCACAGGATCCACGAGGGAAGGTGGGTGAGCACCCTCTACAACCACTGTCCACCCAGATTGCTAGCAGCCCATTGCAGAGTGAGCAAACGAACCTGAAGCACAGTTACTATACGGCTTACATTTGGGGGCAGGGTGAAGATGGCAAGGAAAGGAAAAGGTACCACCCAGCTTTGGACCTCTCCGTCTTTACAGTCCTTTTACTTTGATTCTAACTTTACAGAGGGCCACGTGCTTCTGGCCAGAGCTAGTTAACTGGAGGGGGAAGCAGAGCACTGGCTGTCCCACGGGAATTCGGCGCCTGCCCTGGTACTGCACTTCCCTGCACAGTGCTTGGCATGAGCAGGTATTCAGGACAGGGGAGCTGCACTGAACACACACAGAAACAGCCTTGTGGCCCTTTCCTAGAATGACAGGACACTGGCCCTTTCAGTTTGATGAAGGGCAACCTAAGGGGTTAGGGAAATAAGTGTTAGAGAACAGGAAACCATTCTTCCTTTTTTATTGCCATACACTAGAGGCCCGATGCATGAAAATTCATGCAAGAGTAGGCCTTCCTTTCCCCGGCTGCCGGCACCGGCTTCCCTCTGGCACCTGGGACCCGGGCTTCCCTCCTCTGGCCACCGGCAGGCACCCAGGACCCAGGCTGGCTCTCCTCTGGCCCGGCTTGGTCAGGAAGGATGTCCGGTCTAATTAGCATATTACCCTTTTATTATTATAGATGTTAGATATTGTTCACAGTCACAAACATCTGCAGTTTTACTCTCCCAGAATCCTGGACCTGGGGAGGGTTTTAGAAACAAGAGGTACAAATGCTCTCACTGGATAGGCAAGAACATCGGGACCCATGGGCTGGGACTTGCCCCAGACCACACAGTGAAAACCTAAACCATGAGGTCTTGAAGCCACGTTCACGTTCTCATTATTGTTCCATGCTGAGAATTCTCGTTGGAAATAGAGGATAAAGGGCGTGGGATCTTTAGAACATGTGCGCTCAGGAACTTAGGGTACAGATTTAAACCTTAAGCGGATAGGTCTTCCCAGTTTTACCCAAGATATATTTAAGCAACTCAGAGAAATAACTCCTCCGGCCCAACTCAGAAGGGCTAGATAGCGTGGCAGTCTTGGATCAACAGCAATGAAACTTCAGCCTTTTGCTGGTAAGAACAAAGACCAAATGTAAACACCATCTCTCAAGTTCCTAGTAAATATTTTCCTTCTCTCTCTACCAAGCCTATTGTTTTTTGTTTGTTTGTTTGTTTTTTGAAAATGGGAGGGGCATAGCAACTCCAACTTTCCTCGCCATAGGCCCTAATTCATTGCAGGGCTCATGATGACACCACCCTTAAGCATGGGGCTGCCAGAGCCAGAGCCGGCCACAATTGCCTCTGCAGACGTGTTATTGTTACTATTGTGTGCATTTAGGGCCACTGAAAGGTGTAGTATGAGAATACCTGGGCCCTGGCCCGGCGGTTCAGTTGATTGGAGCATCGACTAAAGGTGGCACAGGAGGCAACCTATCGATGTTTCTCTCTCTCAAATCAAAACATACCCTGGGATAAGGATTTTTAAATAGAGCATGTGGCTGCACAATTTAGGACTGTGTGATATTTGCCAAATGTGACTCTCCCCTCGAAATATTCTCTGAACTGCTAACCATCAGTGGAAGCAGTGGTCCTTTCTTCAGCTGCTCGAGCCTGACACTCGGCTTCCCTAACTGGATGGCTTAAGTCTTACCCGGAGGGGCAGCACAGCCGGAGCCAGCACCCTCAGCAGTTACCTCTGAGCCTTTCCTCCGGGTCGGGGAGCCTGAATGCCCGGGGAGCAACTGGGGTGCAAGATGTCCCCGAATACAGCCCAGAGGTCGCAGCTTTCAACAGGCAGGTCCTGGAGCAGCGCTCCTGTCCACCCTTCGATGGGATTGATCTCCTTTTCCTGCGTCTTCATCTCCGAGACAACAGGAAGTTTGGGAGCGACCCTGAGGTCGGGAGCGTCACGCCCGCGGGGACAAGAAGGCCGAGGGCGCCGGAAGAGCTGCGGGCATCCAGAGCCGCCTGGATCCCAC